TACTTGTTTGTAAAGAAAATCCATACTCTTGATAATCTAGCAATAGGAGTTTTTAAAATTAGATTTCTGCAGGTGCCTGTCTGTACCCTATTTTAGTCTCAAATGTACCTGGGGAGCCGGAGCCCGATTAACACGAAGGCAGGAGAGGCTGCAGTGGAGTCGCTGATCCACCACTTCACCAGATTACGCTCCCAATGTAATCAGAAGACAGTGGTTCCTGTATGGGCCAATGCCAACAGTAGTTGCAGGCTTTTTACATTGTAACAAATTATTATGATACCTTTTATAATAGTGTCTATGTTGTTCTTTGATCTGTACATGCTGGTTTCAACAAACCTGTGTGTGTAAAAAAAAAAGGCCTCTTTCACGCGGGGCAGAATCCGATTGAATCAGCAGGGGGTCTGACTGCTGATCCACTGCTGAGCAGAACAGAGCAGAGCAGGTGGATGACAGGTCCGTGTCTACTCAGGTTCTACAGAGCAGACATAGACACAGCCCACTCTGTGCTATGGGTGATCCGGTGTAAAGAGAACGGCTGTCTGTTTATACCCAATTGCCCCCCAAATCCAATTCGCCTAGATGGAGGGGAATGGATCCCCTTCCATTTAAAGTTTTTAATGGGTTGGATTAGAGATAGGCAGGTGTAAACGCACACAAGCCCGTTTACACCCGCTGGTCCATAGGTATAGCTGTACCTTAAAAACTGACAGGTGGACCTGAGTGGATAGCCCGTTGTTAGCACTTATTTTTTATTATTATTATTATTATTATTATTATTAGTTACATGTATTTACACTTATTAACTCTTTGCTAACCCTAATCATCACTTATTAAGTCTTTCCTTCTTTAGCCATTTTAGATGGCTTTTTATTGTATGTAATTTTTTCTTTCATTTTTTTTGTTTTGTTTGTTCATTTTTAAATTTTTTATTTCCAATAAACAAATGTTGGTTATCTTTTTTACCTTGTTTATTATAACTACATTACACTAGTTTTATATTGTTGATACCCACCCTCCATCTTGTTCAGTTTTCCATGGCCAAAATGGCAACAAAGGCCAAACCTGGAGACAGCAGTTGTTACTGTTGTCTGGAAACTGTGAATGTGGAAGCATGGTGTGTCCTTAACTTGGGGGGTTAGGGAGAGAGGCACTTTGTCACATTCACCTTGTGTGCTTTGTCTGAACAATGCTGGGCGCACCTGACATTGGGTGCTGTGTATCCCTTTGACAGCCTCCAGCTCTGAAACCATACTTCCCCATACCCCCATGTGCTCTCCCAAGCAAGAGATAAGTGAAAAGTATCACTGGCTCAAGGCGTAAAGTATAACTAAAGGCAAAAATGTGGTGAGAGGTTAGAACCACTGTCAGGTTTCTAAAATATCATCCAAGTGCCATGCTTCACTTCCAATTTAAAACAAAATCAACCTAAATGTCTTTTTATAAATGTCAATTAACTGGTATCTTCACAGATGCTTGAATTACAACCAACTTCTTGAACCTTGTAGTGCGATAAAACACTGCAAACCAATGTGTGTAACCTCCACCAGATGTGCTCTCAGCTGGTGTATATGAGCAAACCACCAAGTGAGGTCATATATAGCGTGTGTCCCTTGTGTGGACTGTGATATGATGTCCAATAAGCATGGGTCACCTCTGCTCTTCTAACTGTCCTACATCAGATATACAGTTGTGTCCAAAATTATTCAACCCCCAATGCTGTAAAGGGGTTTAGGGACTATAGTGTACATTTGGAATTGTATTCAGAATCAAATCCTACAAGGACGTTGTAACTACCCAAATGCAACTAAAATGACATCAATTGTTTATGTAATACAGTAGTAAATGGTTCTTATGTGGTTTCTTCATTGCCACAATTATTCAACCCCTTAAAGACTACCACTCTGAAGAACAGAGGTTCATACAGGTGCTTTCCATCAGGTATTGAAAACACCTGTGGATGTCACCGAGCAGCAATCAAGCATAATAAGCACCAATTAGGCAGCTTTAAAATGACTGTGATACTCAGCTCCTTCTAGACATTTACTGGTGTGGTTACAAACATGGTGAAGGCAAGAGAATGGTCCAGGAAGACAAGAGAAGAGGTGATTTCTCTTCACAGGAAGGGCAATGGCTATAAGAAGATTGCAAAGATGTTAAACATACCAAGAGACACCTTAGGAAGCATCATTCGCAAATTCAAGGCAAAGGGCACTGTTGAAACGCTACCTGGTCGTGGCAGAAAGAAGATGCTGACTTCAACTGCTGTGCGCTACCTGAAGCGTAGAGTGGAGAGAAGTCCCCGTGTGACTGCTGAGGAACTGAGAAAAGATTTGTCAGATGTGGGTACAGAAGTTTCAGCCCAGACAATAAGACGCACACTGCGTAATGAAGGCCTCCGTGCCAGAACTCCCAGGCGTACCCCCTTGCTGTCTCCAAAGAATAAGAAGAGTCGACTGCAGTATGCCAAAAGCCATGTGGACAAACCACAAAAGTTGTGGGATAGTGTTCTGTGGACTGATGAAACAAAATTAGAACTGTTTGGGCCCATGGATCAACGCTATGTTTGGAGGAGGAAGAACAAGGCCTATGATGAAAAGAACACCTTGCCTACTGTGAAGCATGGTGGAGGGTCAATCATGCTTTGGGGCTGTTTTGCTTCTGCAGGTACAGGGAAGCTTCAGCGTGTGCAAGGTACCATGAATTCTCTTCAGTACCAGGAGATATTGGATGGAAACGTGATGCAGTCCGTCACACACCTGAGGCTTGGGAGACGTTGGACCTTTCAACAGGACAATGATCCCAAGCATACCTCCAAGTCCACTAGAGCATGGTTGCAGAGGAAAGGCTGGAACATTTTGGAGTGGCCATCGCAGTCACCAGACTTAAATCCGATTGAGAACCTCTGGTGGGACTTAAAGAAAGCAGTTGCAGTGCGCAAGCCTAAGAATGTGACTGAACTGGAGGCCTTTGCCCATGAAGAATGGGCGAAGATACCCGTAGATCGCTGCAAGACACTTGTGTCAAGCTATGCTTCACGTTTAAAAGCTGTTATAACTGTAAAAGGATGCTGTACTAAGTACTAAGATTGAATGTCACTTGGGGGTTGAATAAAACTGATAATGCTGTGAGCACAGAAAAGACATTTGTGGTTATTTCATTATAACTGTTATGTTATATTTGTCTGACCTACAAGTGCCTCTTTAATGTAAATGTAAGCAAGATGACTGAATGATCAAAAGCAATGTCAAACTGGCCAAAACACTCAATTTCAGTGGGGGTTGAATAATTTTGGACACAACTGTATAACGAAAAAAGACCAAAACGAAGTGCTTTATTCTTATAAAACATTTATTGATAAAAAAGTGTTCCATTCACATGTATGATGTGTATTTTTGAGTCTATTGAAGTAACTCCAAAGATACTGCTACCAATATGGATCCTCCAACCGCTATCCTAGGGGAGGGGCTTTGATGTCACGATGCTCATAGGAAAGGCAAGTGCGGTACAGCTGGCTGCAGGATAGCAGTTATAAAAAGACATTTATGTTGGTTGATTTTGGTTTAAATTGGAAGTGAAGCACAGCACTTGAATGATATTTTATGTTGTATATTTTTTATTTGTTTGTTATTTTTTTTGTTTTATATGTTATTTTGCATCACGGATCTGGCATAGCATCTCATAGCAGCTCACAAGATCTTGCACTTTATTCACTGTCAGGTTTTTATTGCGGGCTGTGTCTCCATCAGGGAGAATTACTCCCTCAAATTGTCCTGATTACTGATGTCATGGGGAATGAATGTGTAGGTAAGTTCACAATTCCAGAATAGGAATAGATGGAGAATCTTCCAGCAGGGACACTTATTCCTGCAACAACTGTCTGAGACGGGAAATGCCTCAGATTGCAAAGGTATATGCTCACTTCCTGTTGAGTTTATAGAACAGGAAGTTTAGGGAAATCTGTCCTATGAGACACAGATGGCAAAAAAACAAACAAGCCAACAGCAGTTTATTGTGAGGGGCAATCAAAGGGTTAACTGTGTGTAGGGAGTGTTTTACTAGGGGGCGGGGGGGGTGTGCTTCACTGTAAGCACACTGATCACTGTGCACAGCCATCCTGAGCAGTGTGCCCGAGCTGACAAGGAGGAAGACTGTAAACAAAACAGTCTTCCCCCCTTCGGTGACTGTCGGTAATCATCAGGCGCTGGTGGATAATTACCGGCCGGGACCCGGTAATTAACAGCCGCGGTGGCAAATGGTGCCGCCGGTAGGTCGCTCGCGTGCGCCCCCCTGCCCAGAAATTCAAAATCACGAGTATATACTTGATTTTGCGCACCCGTGCCGCTGTGTAGCAGTATACCTGCTATATGATGGCGGGTAAGTGGTTGAACTAGGGATGCACCAAAATTATGGCCTCCGAAACATATCGGCCGAAAATAGCCCTATCGCCATTTTGCCAATAGGAAAAATTTAGCTGATACAGATGCCAATACAGGGAACTGTGTGTACTGCAAATGTGGGGGGGGGGTGGAGAAAGGCAGGAGAGGAACAGTGACTGGCTGCCTACATGTCAGTGCCGGTTTTTAAATGTAATTACCATCTTTTTTTTTCTTCACTTTTGCTTCTGAGTGACATCTTTCAGGTTTCAGTGTCACTTTGATAACCCTATCCAGGTGACAGGCATACGTGCTGCTCACACTATGTTATTAATGGTCTGTGTTAAATGGGTTTTGCATTCCCATGCGCAAACTGCAGATTTAATGCACCTGCCAATAAATTCCGATGAGCTCAAACGCGTCTTAAACTGATGTCAAACTGATGCCATCAGCACAGACACAAATCCTATATTAGTCTCTCAGCACATTGTGTTAATTAGAGCCTTCGACTGATATGTAAATTGTATGATTATTTTATACCTACAAATTATATGTCTACAAAGTGTTTATCATAATGTACAAATGTCACTACTATTCTTTCTTTTTTTTCTCCTCTAACAGGTATACATGTTCTTGATAAAATGGCAAGATCTCACAGAAAAACTTGTATACAGAAAGTATACAGACATTTATGAGTTTCATGTGAGTATATTTTATTGTTCATTTTGATTCTTTTATCGATCCCCTGTATCTATCTATCTATGAAACAAAGTACAGAGTTAACAGGCTACCATTTGTTCACATAGGGACTTTGTTTTGGGCCTGTGTTGTGTTGTGCAGCCTCGTTCACTATGGTGTCAGTTCACACAAGCACTGTGGTGGTGTGCCCTGAAAAAAAAAGTACCAAATGCAGTATTGGTTTTCAGTGCAGCCAGGGCTACGGTTTTAAACCATGGGACCCCTTGCAGCCAACCTAACAGGGCCCCCCTATCCCCACAAAAAAAACACTGTTTACTATCCTTCAGTTATGAATGAGCACAGTGAGTGATCTGTACCAACCACTCATTGTGTTCATTCAGAAAAGGAATTGGCTGGTAAATTACTGGAACTGATCCTTTGTATGTCTCTCTCTGCAGCAGCTGAAAGCCAGAAGAAGGCGGAGAGAAGAAGAGATGCCAGCTTTCAGTTGCTGCAAAGAGAGCCATACAGGGGATTAATTTCTGTAAATACCCCCTCCTCCCCCACTGTGCCACTCGCCCTCCCTGCCCACATCAGATTCACCCAGCTGACTGAGCCCCCCTGCTGGCCTGGGCCCTGTACAGGAGGACCAGTGGTACCCCCTTATCCAAGGCCCTGAGTGCAGCGTAGTGCAATTCAATCCACTGCATCACACCATGCTGCAGCCAAGTATGTAAAATCAAAATTTCATATTCCTCATATGCGCCTGCTGTACCATGTATTTGTATAAAATAGTGTCCTGTTCTCTTTGTATTACAGTGGGGCAAAAAAATATTTAGTCAGCCACCAATTGTGCAAGTTCTCCCACTCAAAAAGATGAGAGAGGCCTGTAATTGGCATCAGAGGTAGACCTCAACTATGAGAGACAAAATGAGAAAAAAAATCCAGACAATCACATTGGCTGATTTGGAAAGAATTTATTTGCAAATTATGGTGGAAAATAAGTATTTGGTCACCTACAAACAAGCAAGATTTCTGGCTCTCACAGACCTGTACCTTCTTCTTTAAGAGGCTCCTCTGTCCTTCACTCATTACCTGTATCAATGGCACCTGTTTGAACTTGTTATCAGTATAAAAGACACCTGTCCACAACCTCAAACAGTCACACTCCAAACTCCACTATGGTGAAGACCAAAGAGCTGTAGAAGGACACCAGAAACAAAATTGTAGACCTGCACCAGGCTGGGAAGACTGAATCTGCAATAGGCAAACAGCTTGGTGTGAACAAATCAACTGTGGGAGCAATAATTAGAAAATGGAAGACATACAAGACCACTGATAATCTCCCTCGATCTGGGGCTCCACGCAAGATCTCACCCCGTGGGTTCAAAATGATCACAAGAACGGTGAGCAAAAATCCCAGGACCACATGGGGGGACCTAGTGAAAGACCCGCAGAGAGCTGGGACCAATGTAACAAAGGCTACCATCAGTAACACTCTACGCCGCCAGGGACTCAGATCCTGCAGTGCCAGACGTGTCCCCCTGCTTAAGCCAGTACATGTCCGGGCCCGTCTGAAGTTTGCTAGAGAGCATTTGGATGATCCAGAAGAGGATTGGGAGAATGTCATATGGTCAGATGAAACCAAAATAGAACTGTTTGGTAGAAACACAACTCGTCCTGTTTGGAGGAGAGAGAATGCTGAGTTGCATCCAAAGAACACCATACCTACTGTGAAGCATGGGGGTGGCAACATCATGCTTTGGGGCTGTTTCTCCGCAAAGGGACCAGGACGACTGATCCATGTACAGGACAGAATGAATGGGGCCATGTATCGTGAGATTTTGAGTGCAAACCTCCTTCCGTCAGCAAGGGCATTGAAAATGAAACGCGGCTGGGTCTTCCAACATGACAATGATCCCAAACATACCGCCCGGGCAACGAAGGAGTGGCTTCGTAAGAAGCATTTCAAGGTCCTGGAGTGGCCTAGCCAGTCTCCAGATCTCAACCCCATAGAAAACCTTTAGAGGGAGTTGAAAGTCCGTGTTGCCCAGCGACAGCCCCAAAACATAACTGCTCTAGAGGAGATCTGCACGGAGGAATGGGCCAACATACCAGCAACAGTGTGTGCCAACCTTGTGAAGACTTACAGGAAACGTTTGACCTCTGTCATTGCCAACAAAGGATATATAACAAAGTATTGAGATGAACTTTTGATATTGACCAAATACTTATTTTCCACCATAATTTGCAAATAAATTCTTTCCAAATCAGCCAATGTGATTGTCTGGATTTTTTTTCTCATTTTGTCTCTCATAGTTGAGGTCTACCTATGATGCCAATTACAGGCCTCTCTCATCTTTTTAAGTGGGAGAACTTGCACAATTGGTGGCTGACTAAATACTTTTTTGCCCCACTGTAATTCCTTTGTGTGAAATCCCTGGTGTTCCTGCCAGTCCCTTTGACCATGCCAGGCAGTGGTCAGTTCTCTAGCTATGCTGGGAACTCAGTTTGCTCTTCTCCAATGATCAGACTTGAGCTGACATGCCCCCCTGCACGGTATGCTGCTGTTTCTCCTTCCTCAACTCTCTATGCAACCTTGAACAGAGGGTACATAAAAAGGGGAAATGGATATTTCTAATATTTTTATATGTATACACAAATGTTTTACCTTTCATTTCTATTTTAAACTGTACGTGTTGTTTTACAAGGTGAGAGTTTACACATTCTTTAATAAAATGTGACTTTTAATAAAAAGTTTGCCCAAAAAAAGTGAAAGTGTGACAGGGCATGATTGGGACAGTGTATGTACAGAGCATTGGCGCCACTGCCTTCACACTGCACACTATTGGCTGTGTTCTAATCCTGCTGCTGGTTTGAACGGGCTCTGAATGTGTGGTTTTCCTGGGGATTTCCTTTTGTGCTTCACTCAACACAGGTGTACTTTTAACAACTCAGAAATCCCTTTGGCGTTTACCGTTTTTTGTAGCCTATGTATCAATACTGATGTTTGTACAGAGATAAACTGGTAGGAGGGAGTATAACACAGATGTGCACTCCTGCACCCTGGTCACAGCAAACATACATCCTTTGCTCTACAATCTACATGATATATGAATGATTGGATATGAATGATACATCCTGAGGTCACATTTTTTTACTTCTGTGTTGTATTAGAGAAATGTGATAAATGTAATTATAAAAGCAATTTCAGTATAGCTTCAGTATATATGTTTACCGCTGCTCAAGGTAGAGAGACTCCCAGTCTCCAAGCACAACTCCTCCTGTAGGTGCTAGCCCAGCTCGTGTGCTGCATAGATGAGAACAAAGTCGTTCAGATCGGCTGCACTCCAAACAATCCACTTTATTGAACCAAGATAAAACCAATACAGACAGTGGAAATACAGTGGGGACTGGCATGTAAACGCGCTTCACGCTAAAGACAGCGCTTATTCATTACCCAGTGGACCCATGTACAAAATGTTAATTTTAATTTTAAGCACCAACAACAGCTGTTCCTCCTAATCAACACTGAGTCCACCTCTTGCTACACCAAACCGATTTAAAGGTAAAGACAGTTCTGCAACTGACAACAATTTTAACATCCCCAAAGTGCAACGCATAAAATCCAACTCACCAACCACAGGATATGTGCAAGAATTCCCACGTTGCACAATGGAGATGGTAAAGATAAAAATGAAAATAAAGCTGTAAAGAATGTATGGGAAGAAGAAACAAAAAATAACATACCATGAAGAAAACATCACATGTATAAATGTATGTATATTGGATCCATCCCAAATAAGAAGATATACAAATTATAAAAATAGATATGTCTCAGATCGATAACAAAGTCTCTGTCCTATCCTCACCATTGTCAAGTACAATATCTTGGCTAGGATCTCCATGATCATATTTATGACATACAAAAGAATCATTCTACCAATGTCGCCAGAGTGCTGGTGGAAGTGACCTTAGTGCTTTGAGCATACAGGGCATTGAGAGGGTGGACAGGTCTCCTAGGGGTGGAGATGGCTTTAGATTGCTGTGCAAAGGTGAAGTCTTTTGGATTTTTTATTTGGGTACATGTATCCCCAATAGTTTGAATTTTGAATGGGATCTTACCCATTTTTAGAAGTGACGTCCTTGCCCAGCCATGGCCCCCTCCCTCTCTGATGACTGATTCAGCTTTTTGAATATATGCGTTTAATTGACGACATTTGTTTATTTGGTCTGATCTTTTTTGATAATTTTCAGTGTCTCTGCCTGTTCCATTGCCTTATTAGCCTTTTTGTTCTTTAGTTTATCTGGGATGGTGAGGATAGGACAGAGACTTTGTTATTGATCTGAGGCGTATCTATTTTTATAATTTGTATATCTTCTTATTTGGGATGGATCCAATATACATACATTTATACATGATGTGATGTTTTCCTCATGTTGTTTTTGTTTCTTCTTCCCATATAATCTTTACAGCTTTATTTTTATTTTTGCCATCTCCATTGTGCAACGTGGGAATTCTAGCACATTTCCTGTGGTTGGTGCTTTGGATTTTATGCATTGCACTTTGGGGATGTTAAAATTGTTAGTTGCAGAACTGTTTTTACCTTTAAATCGGTTTGGTGTAGCAGGAGGTGAACTCAGTGTTTATTAGGAGGAACAGCTGTTGCTGGTGCTTAAAACCAACACTTTGTACATGGGTCTACTGGGTAATGAATAAGCTCTGTTTTAGCGTGAAACGCGTTTACCTGCCAGTCCCCACTGTATTTCCACTGTCTGTATTGGTTTTATCTTGGTTCAATAAAGTGGATTGTATGGAGTGCAGCCAATTGGATGTCCTTTGTTCTCATAGTTTCAGTATAGTTGTGTGCTGCATTTGTAATGGGCAAGTTAACCCCTTCAGGTCTTTTCATACTACTTGGGCCAGTGAAACTATGTTTCAGCTATAGGCCTATTGTTATATAGGCCTAACTATGGTGTCCGTTTATGAACCAGCAGTAATAGATCGCTGCTCAGTTCTCCGGCATTCTCGGAGAACACAGTTCTCCTGTGAATGCCGTTTATGAAGCATATGTAGATCAGTTCTCCAAACGAAGGGAGAACGGTCTACAAACGCTGGAAAATGGTTGATTTTACTATAATCTTGCGAGATTACAGTAAAAGATCAGTTTACTAAACAGAGGTAAATTATCTCTGCTTAGTTTGCGGTCCCTCCGATTCTCCAGCTCTGGGCTGGAGAATCTGGAGGGAGAACACAGATCTCCAGTGAAGGGCTGAACATGTTCTCCTGAGTGTTATAAACTGTGAATGACCAGAGAATAGCTGCAATCCTCTGAATCACAGCTATTCTCTGTGTCATAAACGGACACCTATGTTGTATCAGCATGGCAAAAGGTCCATTTTAGTGTGCAGGCTGATGTGCGTTTTGGTGAACCATGTGGTTTACAAACTTTATTGAGCGTGTACAAATGTACACTTCATCCAAATCTCTACACAGCAGCACAGCGCAATGCGCTGCACTGACCTGTACAACTGAATTGTGCATCTACAGGTCTGCATTTTTCTGCACTGCATACCATGCCAGCTTTATGGTGTGAACAGGGCACATAAAAATATTTGCTTTCTATGCACCCTTGCCGTGGCTGTCGTAGATTAGGTGCAGAAGAATGCCAGTCGCTAGGCTCTTACTTATTTTCTATATTTTAAAATAAGAACGTTTAGTTTTAAAATGAACACTTGTTAAAAACAGTGTTACTATAGGTACAACAAACAAATTAGAACCTTTCAGTTTGTACAGTTTCTCATGACACTAAATTTAAGTTTCTAGTATAACGCACATTGGTTAAGGCTCGGTTCACACTTATGTGGGTGGAAGCCGCTGTAGGACCCACACTTCGTCCCGCAGCTGCAACCACCTGTACACAAAATGGCACACCGCCCGCACTGGAAATCGCACCCGTACCGGGAACTGCGCGGTAGTGTAGTTCCCGTGCGGGCTATGATTTTTGGAAAGGTGTAGGGACCCTTTTCCTGTGTTTTGCAAGGCATGGCAGCCCATTCAAATGAATGACAGTGGGAACTAGCAAATCAGTCATTTCTTAAATGACTCAAGCAACTGTAGAAAAGTGAAAAAAAATACTGTTTGTTTTGCGCTTTGTGCTTCACACCACACTTTAAAAAATCCTGATAAAGCACGATAAAAAGTTAAATTGTATACAGGAACAAATTATAAAAATACATTTTACACGTGACTTGTAGCTTTTCATTGTGCTGTCACTGGTGCTAGGCATGCAGTTGCTAATGCTTTACTGACGACAGCAAAGAGTACATCTCTTTGTATCTATGTGGGAGCCATCTTCAAAAAAGTCAGTGTAATCTGCAACCGAATATGCAGAACATGCTACAGAGCAAAGCTACTCAGGCATATATAAAATCCCCATGGGTATACACTATAAAATCTCTAAAACACAAATAGCCTAAGTTTCTGTATTTATCTGTGTTGTTCTGAGTATCGGACAGGTGCATTGGTAATCTTCAGCAATGTTTCTTCAGTTCTTGAATTTTGAGTGATTTTGAATTCTGAAATTTTCCTGACATTACATGAATGGGAAACATATACATCTTATGCAATGCTGTTACACATTGAATTAAAAAGTGTGCTATTCAATTGTAATTAACAAAGATTTAGATTTAAAGATTGTAATATTACCCTAACCCAGTGTTTCTCAACTCCAGTCCTCATGGACCCCCAACAGATCATGTTTTCAGGATTTTCCTCAGATAAAACAGCTGTGGTAATTACTAAGGCAGTGAAACTGATCAAATCACCTGTGCAAAATAATGGAAATCCTGAAAACATGACCTGTTGGGGGTCCATGAGGACTGGAGTTGAGAAACACTGCCCTAACCTAAACATTGTGGTATGCTGATATAGCTGTATAATATTACAAAATAGTTATTTTCTTTATCTTTTTTTAAGTCTGTGGGGAGATTAAGGTTGTTTTCACAGATTCATTTTTGTTCCACTTTTGCATTAAAAAAAAATTTTTGGTGCAGGTTTGGTATGGTAGAAAAAAAAATGCACCAAAATCAATGGAAAGTGGGGAAAAAATGCATCTCTTGGTGCGTTTCTGGTGCAGTTTTAAGGCATGTTAAAAACGCACCACAACCGTGGTAAAAACACATTTTTGCTGCAGATCAGTGTAGCCTTACTAAAACTAGAACACTCAATATCTGGTGCAGCTGTGCATGGCAGGCAATCAGTTTCTAACTTCAGCTTGTTCAATTAAAGCACAGTATACCTAAAGGCAAAACTGTTTTCTTAATTTTGGATAGAGTGGAGAGGGATTAGACCACTTGTCAGTTTTCATTGCTGTTTATGCCCCCGTTAGGGGGATTCACTGATTCACCCTCTCTATTTATCCTGTTTACCATTATCATTGAAAGTAAAAGAAAATCCAAATTTTGCGTTGTTCCCAGAAAAGAAATAGAGGTGAAATCTTCCAGTGGGGACACTAGTTCATGTAACCTGGGGCTCCCCAAGGAATTCCCTTAAATTTCAGGGATTTCCTCTCACTTTCTGTTTGGCTATGGGGCAGGAAGTGAAAGGGAGCTCCCCAATGGGACACAGATAATGAAAAAAATCTGACAGGGGTTATAACTCTCCCCTACTCTATCTAAAATGAAAAAAAAAATGCCTATAGTTCTACCTTTTAGCTTTGGCAATAAACCTGAAAGCTGATTCCTTTCTATGCAGAGTTTACCAGATTTTGCACTCTCCAGTTTTAGTAAATAACCCCTTATATCTTCTGGTTTCCTGCCATTGGCTTTAGGCTGACCCTACAGATTACAATCCGATTATTGTGTTAGGGCTAGGAATTAGGGTTGATTTAACTTGAATTAATTGTACGAAGTAGGCCCTACAGTTACATAGTTGTTGGTAAATTGAAATGTGATTGCTTAATCAGATTCTAAAATGTGTGGCCATCACAACAGAATAACCTCTGTTGGTTAAGGCCAGAACATGCCTGGCAAAACACAACACAGCAAAAAAAGAACTACAGACTCCAGCAGGCAGTCATCTAGGGATATATGTACAAACTCTCTGCCAATCCCTCCACTGGCTTCCAATTGCCAAACGGATAAAACGGATAAAATTCAAAACACTAACACTGACGTATAAAGCCATTCATAACACTGCCCCTAATTACATCACCGACCTTGTCTCTAAATACCACCCAAACCGTACTCTCCACTCCTCGCAAGACCTCCTACTCTCTAGCTCCCTTGTCTCCTCTTCCCATGCTCATCTCCAGGATTTCTCAAGGGCTTCACCCATCCTCTGGAACTCCCTACCCCAATCTATCAGGCTATCGCCTACTCTGTTCACTTTTAGGCGCACTCTGAAAACCCATACCTTCAGGGAAGCCTACCCCAACCCCAGCTAATACTGGAATCCTCTACTCTTCCTACCACTCCATCCCCCACAGCTTACTACCTTTTGTACCACTATCCCCTCCCTTCTAGACTGTAAGCTCCAAGGAGCAGGGCCCTCTAATCCCTCATGTATTGAACTGTATTGTTACTGTATTGTCTCCCTCCATAATGTAAAGCACTCAGGCAAATTGTCGGCGCTATATAAGTCCTGTATAACAATAATAGAAAACTCACTTTTGGATTAACCATAAAGCCTACCTGAATTAAAAAAAAAAACATGTTTTGTTTTGCCTTTAGATACAGTGGTGGAAGTGTTAGAACTTCGATCAGGTTTTCATTTCTGTTAGGGTCCTGTTAGAGAAATAGTTTTTTTTTTTTTTCTGTTTGGTCTGAGACCATGACAAGAAGTGAGATGAAACCCCAATGAGGACAAAAGGGCAAATAAAACTTAAATGTGGTTCTAACCCACCCCCACTACTAAAAAAATATATTTTTTTTGCTATTGGTCCCAAAGGGGAGATTTATCCCCCTTCTTTTCTCCCTGATACACATCAAATAGTAAGTGATGGGAAATCTCTACAAGGGAGAAAACAGAAGCAATAAAAACAATAAAGAGTAGAAACACATACCCCCTCTATCCAAAACTGAAAAATATAATAATTTTAACTTGTGTCAGACATTAGGAGCAATTATAGTCTTCTTATGGTGCTGGTTGAGTTTTTTTACTGTCATATGGTTATTATCTTTACATACTGTATTTGCAGAAAGCACTTAAAGAAATGTTTCCTATTGAGTCTGGAGAAATTAACAAAGAACACAGAACTATACCTCATCTGCCAGGTAATCATCTAAAAAATGCATGTAATTGCTGTATTAAATATAGAGGTTTGCAATTTAAGAGGGGGAATGTAGGGTTCCTACAAACTGAAGTCATCCAATCCTATTTCGGGATTAGTTTTACTGTATTAAAGGTCTTGGATATACTTTTTGGGCAAGGCTGCTTTACTTGTCTCTAATTTCAAAACAGTAACAAAGTTATACTGCATCTAAAAGGAAATCATGAATCTAATGATTTTCAGATCTATCTAATAATTTATGATCTGAAAATTTATCATAAATCTTCCCTAAATTTAAAGCGAAACTTCAATCTCCAGGGCACGTTGCCTTCCATGCATCCCTTCTCTCCTCCACTGCAAAAACTGGGGCTTTTTTCCCTTCCTTTAGTTTTGGTAAAAAAGACCTGGTTCGCCCCCTGTGACCATAATTTGTCTAGACCAGGGGTAGGCAACCTGCAGCTCTCTAGCTGTTGCAGGACTACAAGTTCCATCATGCCTCTGCAAGTCATAGCTGTAACTGTTGGTTTTGTAATGTTACAATGCCTCATGGGAAATGTAGTTCCACAACAGCTAGAGGGCCATAGGTTGCCTACCCCTTGTTTAGACAACTGATGTGCACTTTGCCCGCATCACTTCCTGGGATATGTGGTCTCATATCCCAGGAGGCATAGACCTTCATTGGGAAAAGAGGAGGAGGCAGGGCCAGGTGGCGCCTCATCAATAAAGCTGTGGGCTTAATCCGGAAAAGCCGTCAGCTAGCGATGACGTGACACAGGACAGAGAGGGGTGCAGAGAAGAAGCGGATCTCAGCAGGACAACGCTGGATCCACTGGGCAGGTCAGTGCCTTCAATGTGCAGGACCTGCAATCAGGGTAAGTGGGGGTAAAAAAAAAAAAAAGGCGGGGGGGGTTGGGGATCCTAAAGTTCTACTTTAATACAGAGAATTAACTTATGTATTTTTGGATTTCCTCTCAATTTCTGTCTTGGTGGCAATGATCACCAAGAGATACAGGGAGGATGAATTTCCCTTGTGAGGACACCGACAGCAATAAAAATTGATAATCTCTAACCCTTCCCTAATTCCTAATACTATAATTATCCTTTCAATAACATATTTTAGCTTTATAACTTCACTTTCTAATAATATAAACTGGTGTTGGTATCCTTGAATATATAAAAAGTCAATGAAGGAACAAGACAAACGCACACACATTTCTGCTATTCCTTATATGTTGCATTGCATTGCATTCGAAAACCAATACAACACAGCTCTATTCAAAGTTCTGTCCCTAGTTCATTCAGCACATGTACACTCACCAGCCACTTTATTAGGTATACCTGTTCAATTGCTTGGTAACACAAATTGCTAATCAGCCAATCACATGTCAGCAACTCAGTGCATTTAGGCATCTAGATGTGGTGAAGATGACTTGTGAAAGTACAAATCGAGCATCAGAATGTGGAAGAAAGGGGGTATAAAGGACTTTGAACATGACATGGTTGTTAGTACCAGACAGGCTGGTGTGAGTATTTTAAAAAATGGGGATCTACTGGGATTTTAACACACAACCATCTCTAGGGTTTACAGAGAATGGTTCGAAAAAGAGAAAATATCCAGTGAGTGGCAGTTGTGTGGACGAAAATGTCTTGTTGATGTCAGAGGAGAATGGGCAGACATTGCTGCAACATTCAGATGGTAGGTTTAGAATTTGGCGTAAACAACATCAAAGCATGGATCTATCCTGCCTTGTATCAACGCTTCAGGCTGGTGGTGGTGGTGGTGTAATGGTGTGGGGGGATATTTTCTTGGCACTAGCAAGGTGTACCTAATAAAGTGGCCGGTGAGTGTATGTTAAAGCAGAAGAAATTGTGATACAGATATGTGGAAAATTATAATTTCTCCATTGTTTTTTGGAGGGCACAGCTCTGCTTTTGATCATCACCTACTGGGTAATGTGCTACCTGCAGAAGCAGCTGATGATCTAAAGCAGTGCTGTGTCCTCCAGTGAATGCAATAAGACCTTTAGCTAATAACAAATTGCTTTTCTCCTTATTCTTATAGATAGGAGACATATTATGCAGTGCTCTACAAATATAAAATCTTCACACAAATCCCTGATCCCTAAAGGAGCTTACAATTTAGCCATACAACACTTGGGCCAATGTATCTACCATTATATTTTTTTTGAAAGGAAACCAACTTGAGTTTTTTCCTTTAGAAAAACCATTTACTAGGAATAACATATAGTACAAAATCTGTAAAGACAGCAACCTTAGAGACATATAAACCTCAAGACCAATAAACCTCAAGGGATGCATACTTACTACTTAGCCACCATGCTTTGTAAAAACCAAGTCTAAAAACAACACAAAGAATATGCATTAATATGTACTAATATGCACTTATTGTAAAGTACTGCACAAACTGTTGGCGCTATATAAATCCTGTATAATAATAATAATAAGTCTACAACTCTTAGGACCCTTGACCTCGATAATCCTTGACCAATGGAGAAAACGGACCATCAAAATAAATTTGAAAAAAAAAAGTTGTTTATTGCATAATGATTTCAATTTTCGTGGGACTATATTTGTACAATTTTTTACATACTGAAGCATAGAAAGGAGAACTGAAACAGGTCGATTAAACCACCTGTATTTTCCTTTTTCATCCTTGGTTGTTATTGTGAAAGATCAGTTAAGAGTTTTAGTGTTATGAGTTTAAAGGGCAGTAAGCTCACTCCACAATATAGGAAAAATAGGCAGCTGTTAACACCAGCTGAACAGAATTTTCATATTCTAGACTGTGCAGATGAAACTAGTATGGTTTTTATACACTGCTGGTACAGTACCAAGCAATATTGTGTGTATGATGGTGTGCTAAATGTTTGTTACTTAACAGGTTAGGTTTCTCGTACAATGTGGCTAAGCTCATGCAGAAACATATCCTATTCTTAAACATCACACCTCCCCAGGCACTAATGGTCTACTGAGAGAAATATATGGGTCGCCATTGCTGGCATTTTTCTGAAAATGCTGGTTACCTGGCTTCAAAATGTATAATGTGGAGGAGCTCATCTATGAGGAAAGATTAGAGGAACTGAATGTATTCTCTCTTGAGAAGAGGAGATTAAGGGGGGTTATGATCAACATGTATAAATACATAAGGGGTTCATATAGTGAACTCGGTGTAGAGTTATTCCTGAGGTCATCACAGAGGACAAGGGGGCACTCTTTATGTCTGGAGGAAAATAAATTTAATCTCCAAACATGGAAAGGTTTATTCACAGTGAGAGCTATGAAAATGTGGGATAGTCTCCCTCAAGAGTTGGTTCTGGCCAGCTCAGTGGATTGCTTTTAAAAAAAGGCCTGAATTCTTTCTATGATTCACAGAATATAACTGGATACTAACATTTATAGGTAAAGTTGATCCAGGGAATATCCGATTGCCTCTCGGGGGATCAGGAGGGAATTTTTTTCCCAGCAGGTGCAAATTGGATCATGCTTTGCTGTTTTTTTTTTTTGCCTTCCTCTGGATCAACTGTTTGTATAGGATTATAACTTTTTTTTTTTACTTTTTTTTTTTAATGGTTGAACTAGATGGACTTTTGTCTTTTTTCAGCCAGAGTAACTATGTAACTAAAACTGACAAACTATGTAACTATATAACGACCCAGAACAAGCAAGGAACAGCTGAAGTCAGAATTCCTGTTCTGCATACTTGTTTAAGGTCAATGACTCAGAAAGTATTGAAACCACTTGACTGGCTGGCATTTTTACATCTTTCTTTTACAGAAGATGACAACATACAGAATCTCAGTTAAATTACCCTTAAAGTGCACTCCGGGTTCATTGGTTTTTAACTTTTTGTGCCTCCCCCTCCCCCCCCAATATAAGAAAAAAAGTGACCAAGTTGTACTTACCTTCTCCACAATCCATCATGTAGGATGGCATCACAGTACTCCAGAACTGAACCTAACTCATATTTCATTACAAGACCTCTCCTTGCCCCCTTATCATGATGGCATGAAGAAAGACTAGGAAGCTCCAGTGATCTCACTTGATCGGATAGAAGACTATAGGTAAAGGGTATGTACAGGGATTAATAAAAAAAAACCTGAGAGAACCTTTTGGGGGTAAACTGAGTGCTGGGTTATGCAATCTAGAGCTGGAATTCAGCTTTACGTTATTAGACTCAAATTAGAGTGTCCCTGTTGTGGATGAAGGAGCACAGGGCTCAACGTTGGACAGCAGCATTGTCAGTCTGGGAGGAAGGGAGTGGTAGATGTACTAGCAGATTTAGGTACACAAATTGAAGCCAAAATCCACATAAATCCACATAAGTAAGTAACAGCAAATGTTTTTTTTCCTGGTGCCACCCACCAGTGCCCCCCATCAGTGCCCAGCAGGCCACCCATCAGTGCCGCCCAGTGCCCATCATTGCCATCAGTCAGTGCTACCAGTCAGGACCGCCTGTAAGCATCGCCCATCAGTGCCACCTATCAGTGTCGCTTATCAGCATCATCAGTGCCTATTCATTAATGCCCACCAGTGCCACCTCATCAGTGCAGCCTATCCTTGACCATCAGTGCTGCCTATCAGTGCAGCCTATCAGTGCAGCCTCATCAACGCACATTAGTGAAGGAGAAAAATTACCGTTTCCAACATTTTATAATAGAAACAAAGAAAAACTTTTTTTTTCACTTTTTTTGCTTTTTTTTTTATAGCGCAAAAAATAAAACACCCAGTGGCAATTAAATACCACCAAAAGAAAGCTCTATTTATGTGAAAAAAAATGGTAACATTTTCATATGGGCACAATGTTGCATGACTGCGCGATTGTCATTCAAAGTGCGACAGTGCAGAAAGCTGAAAATCGGCCTGGGCACGAAGGAGGTATCAGTGCCCGGTAGGCAAGTGGTTAAAGCATACCAATTTCAAACAAAAAATGTAATATTTTGCAGCTTACCATTTTCTATGGGTCCAGGAGTTGTAATCCTAAAACATCTTTCCCTGTTTTACTTTTCATTTTAAATCTTCTTCTTGGCTGTAGCTTCCCATTTATAGAATTCTAGTAATTTTTTTGGAGTTTTGATATAATAGAATAGGAAGGGCTAGACACTCAGGGGTTTATTTACCAAAGCTGGAGAGTCCAAAATCAGACTCCCTTCTGCATAGAAACCAATCAGCTTCCAGGTTTCATTGCCAAAGCTTCATTGAACAAGCTGAGGTTAGAAGCTGATTGGTTTCTATGCAGAAGGGAATCTGATTTTGGACTCTCCAGCTTTAGTAAATAAACCCCTCAGTGTCTTTGTGCTCATTGGGGATATTTCTTATCAGTTCTGGTCCCAGTAACACAACAGAAAGTGAAGAAATGTCCTCAATGGGCATAAAGACAGCGAACAATGAGCCCCTGAGAGCAGTTCTGCCCTTTTCCAATCAAAAACTAAAAGAAACAGTCTGTTTACCGCTGCTCAAGGTAGAGAGACTCCCAGTCTCGAAGCACAACTCCTCTTGTAGGTGCTAGCCCAGCTCGTGTGCTGCATAGATGAGAACAAAGGACGTCCGATCGGCTGCACTTCACACAATCCACTTTATTGAACCAAGAACAAAAACCATACAGACAGTTGAAATACAGTGGGGGACTAACAGGTTTACCTGCCAGTCCCCCGCTATATTTCCATTGTCTGTGTTGGTTTTATCTTGGTTCAATAAAGTGGATTGTTTGGACTGCAGCCGATCGGACATCATTTGTTCTCATAAAAGAAAAAGTCTCTTAGAGGGTTTAACATGTTAATATAATTTCAAAATTAATTTTTATTGTTTTTAAATCTCTACAATGCCACCAATACTTCTGATGAAGACTCCAATTGGCCACTTCAACACACATTACTCAAATATAGTCCACTGTTGTCACCATCAGGAAGGGTAGTTTGATAAATGCTATGCAGATGCAGCAAAGATTGGAAAAAAAGGTGAAAACAAATATTTAACTATAACAGAAATTGACAATTGTGTATGACATACAGAACTTTAAAAATGTTATCTATTCAGGGTGTGCATCAATTTTAGGTGTATGTTTCTTTTGACCTGATTTAAATCAGTTATATTTACATTTAAAAAATGCAACTTGCAAATAATTGTTTTTCAGCACCGAAATGGTTTGATGGTCTGAGGTCTACAGAGAACAGACAGGTCACTCTGGCTGACTACTGCTTGTCTCTACTCAACCTTCCTCCTAAGATCTCCCGTTGTACTCATGTTGTCCACTTCTTCAAAGTTAGACCTGATGATCTAAACCCCACATCGAGCAATAAGTGAGTGTGTTTGACATACAGTACATTATACAAAACATTCTACAGTACTATTATGCCATTACTGCTGTTAGAACGCTACATGCTTATAGTTAGAAATAGACAACTGTTTTGTTATTGTGTATTGCATGAAGCATAACTGATACTGTATTTGTAACTTGTATGTGGTACATTTATAAGCCATCTTAGGGTATGTGCACACTCTAGGGCAGCCATTCTAAACTAGGGTTCCTTTAAAGGATGCCAGGGGTTCCTTGAGTTGTGGCTAACTAACCTCCCATCTGATGGTGCCTTCATAGTTCAAGGGGCAACACCACTTAGCAGAATTGGTGGCAAGGCACCAAAATGTTTTTAACTATCTCTAAGGGTTGCATTTGTACCACCACTGTAAGGGGGCATTTTCCTCACTGGGTCCCAATGAATTGGTTTTAGCAGGGGTTTTTCAAGCCTGAAATTATTTCAAGGGTTCCTGTAAGGTAAAAAATTTGAGAAAAACTGCTCTAGGGTACGTACACAGTATGGTTTACAGTATGGTGGCCATACTCTGACTGCATCAACTTTGATTTTTGCACTGCATCTTATACATTGTATTTGCTGTCTGCATGCTAAGGATGCTAATACTCTTTAAAAATGTTGTTTTGCTTAGCGGTCGAAAGCCTGAAACTTTCTTGCTGAAGCAAGAAACCTCAAAGAAAAATGTGTCAGGTAAGGAAAATCTGGGGGTGGATTTTGAGTTTTTGTTTTTTTCTTTACAGCAATGGAATCTCACCATGTTTTGAAATTTACATTGTATAATGAAAAGTTTGTTTCTTTTCCTGAAATTTTAATGGCAGATATGTTTGTTTCTGGTTCCTGTGTAAAATAATTTAATCTGCACCCTTTTGCTTTTAATACACATATTGTGCTATATTGGCAAAAGCTGTTCTTGTGCAGTTGGATGGTTCTTGTAGCTTCCCTTAGGTCCAGCCCTACTCAGATTCTCCTAATCTTGGGGAATACAATTGATACTCAATTTTGACAAAGTGGGGTTAGAACATGTGTGTATTATTGTTTTATAATAGATGTTCTTTAAAGTATCATTGTATTAATCTTGTGTAAATGCAATAGTTTGTTTTACCAAATGTTCCTGAACGACTTTTTTTTGTGACAGATATAACAGGTCCCATTATACTCCAGTCCTATCGAGTAATTGCAGACTATGAAAAAAATTCTAAGAGTGAGCTGTCTGTGAAAGATGGTGATGTGGTTGACGTGGTAGAGAAGAATGAGAATGGTAACTTATGTTTCGGGAACATTTTTATTTAATTTTCTGAACAGCATTACAGCAACAAACAGTCCTACTCATTCACTTACATACTGGTCATCTGCTGTCAGGGCTTTAGCCTTGGTTTCCACTGATGCAGTGCGGAATTCACAGCGTTTTCAGTGCGAATCCCGCACCACATCAGAATCGCACCCCATTCATGCGAACCGATGTGGGTGTGTATGTTAAGCTAGCAACACCCTGAAAGCAGTCAGCAAAACATGGTGTGATGTGCAGAATCAGATCACATAGGTGTGAATACCCATGTGGTGTGATTGTAGTGCAAACCAAAAAAAAGAGTCTTGCACATTTTTGGTTCGGGTGCGGTGCAGTTAGAGGCATAGAAAATGTATGGCTCCAATCGCACCAAACACAAATCACATGTGAATCACGTGCGATATACCACACCACATACAGTATATGTGAACCCAGGCTTAAACTGTTAAGTGAGAATTAAGTCAAAGTGACCACACATGGTAAGATTTAAAGGTAAGTGCACATTTGGTGGCACTGCCCAAAATTCCTGATCTGCACTATTTCTGCTACAACAACTATTTCTGCACAGCAGACTACACTTTACAGGTTGCTCAGAGTCAGGATAGTTGCTCAACTTCTAGCACTGTTACTGCTCCTCTGGAATCTTGGGCTCATGTGTTGGGTCATGCTATGGAAAACAATTGCTGTCCTACTGTTACACACCAGAGACATTCTTTATTATAAATGGCCAGGCCCAGCACATGTGCCCTACTGTCGGCAGGCAGGACAGTGTAAACCATTATTTTTGCAAATTGGAGATATGGGATTTTAAGGATATTGCGTTTTCTATAAATAGCAGAACTGTGTCTAACTGGTCTTAATTTCACCTTTGAGAAAAGTGTAACTTTGCCAATTATGCATAACATAATGATGATAGCAATATGGATATATTAACATATACATAAACTGAAAATGCAGAATTACAAAAACCAGGTGATTGCATATAACTGCACACATTTTTTCCTTCTGTTTAAACATTGTCTTTTTTATGAAAAGGCCATTCTGTATTATATTTCTTCTTTTCTCCAGGATGGTGGTTCTGCCAGATGAAGGACAAACGAGGCTGGGTTCCAGCTGCTTACCTTGAGCCTCTTGACAGTCCAGATGAGTCTGAAGAGCAAGAGCCTAACTATGAAGGTAATAAGGAAATACTGCATCCCACTTTATTTTTCAATATTAATGGAAAAATATGCAAAGAAGGCAAGTTATCCAGAGCAATAAATCAGATTCCTGGTTCATGTTACAAAGCAAACCTCACTGGTTGCAGTTAACAGTCATAATATCTAGCCTTTTTCTTTCTTCTTGTTTTCACAAATTAGCCCTAGCAATAGAGTCCCTAAGCATGACATACATTCATGGATTACCCACAATGTGGGGCAGGTACTGAATGGAGGGAACAATTTAAGAGAATGATGCTATGGGTTGGGTTATTGTGCTGTCTGGTTAGGGACGAAGGCTTGGTTTCTACAGTGTGAACAATGAAACTTGTGCTCATGTGAAGGTAATTCCAGGCAACATGTGAAATCCATCAGAGAGCTATTTATGGCCGAAATATCACTCTGCTTGCCTTAATCTGATTGCTCTGTAATCCCCTGAAATGAAAGCCTAGTATACACTATCAGAAAATCATATTCCTCACCCCAGACACCACCAAACAACTTGTACACTCCCTCATCTCACGCCTGTACTATTGCAACTCCCTTCTCACTGGCCTACCCAAACAAATGCTATCCCCACTCCAGTCGATCCTAAACTCAGCGGCCAGACTCATCCACCTCACCAAGCGCTCCACATCTGCCTCCCCCCTCTGCCAATCCCTTCATTGGCTCCCAATTGCCCAACGCATCAAGTTCAAGCTGCTAACCCTGACCTACAAGGCCATTCACAATGCCGCCCCGAACTACATAACTGACCTGATACCCAGATACTACCCTACCCGTGCCCTCCGCTCCTCACAGCACCTCCTGCTCTCTAGCTCCCTGGTCTCCTCCTCCCACGCCCGATTGCAGGACTTCTCCGGGACTTCCCCCATCCTCTGGAACTCACTACCCCAATCCATCAGACTGTCACCTACCCTCCTCACCTTCAGGCGCACCCTGAAAACCCTCCTCTTCAGGGAAGCCTACCCCAACCTCACCTAACACCTGACCTCACCTAACAACTAACCTCATCCACTCCTCCCACCACTCCATCCCCCACAGCCATCTCCTCCTGTGCCACCTTCCCCTCCCTCCTAGATTGTAAGCTCAAAAGAGCAGGGCCCTCGAACCCCTCGTGTAGTGGATTGTTACTGTCTTGTCTCATGTTATGTCCCCCTTGCTACTGTACAGCGCTGAGCATACCCTTTGGCCCTATATAAATACTGTATAATAATAATAATATGAAACATACAGTTTTAGAAGTGATCATACAATAATCTGATCATTAGTACACAGCTCTGAAACTATACAAAGAGACAAGCACAAAAATGTTTCTCGTACGATACCAGATCATATGATTTTCGTTTACCCAGTACAGTTTTCAGCAGAAAATACAATACAAATTGAATACAATACATCACTTCCTAAATTTGTATTCTGTTGAACAAGAATTTTTGTAACTTTAGTAACCTCTTCATTTTCAATATGGAGACTTGCATGCAAAAAAAAAAACATACAATCATTCGTCTGATATTCTCATCGTGTGTACGGGGTTTATTAACCCTAATGCCATTCCCTAAAAGTGTGCCTCCTGTTGTATTTTCCTTTATAACTTCTTCTTCTTCCTCTGCTTTCTGCATTACCAACAATATTCACACTTAAAGCTTTCTGTAGTGACATATTTTTACATAAGGCTTTATTTACATAGGCCCTCTCAAAAAGCTGTATGAAGGAGATAACAAGGACTCTGCACTGGGTGTGTTTGAGAATATCTTGTATGCGTCACAATCAGAGACTGTTGGATCACCAAATTACTGACCAGAGTAAAGTGGGGTTCAAACTAGTCCACAAAAGTGAATTTCTGGTAGGGATAAGGCTGACCATACGCTATACAATCTGACTGTACAATCTCCTTTAGATCTACCATCAGCTATGTAGTACAAGAGTCCAGAAGGACCTATAAGTAAGTGGTGAATACTGTATTAGGGGAAGTTACTACACTGACTTCCAGCTTCCAAATGGATCAGCCAGTTATGGAGCATACATACTTACATTGGTCCAAGCTGGATCAATGTAACTATCCAAAAAAAATATCCCTAAGTTTCTGCTTTAAAGGACAACTTGTACCAGAGTTTCAGATTTCAGTTTTAATCCCTGTATACAGATAAGTTCAATTTTTTAAAAAAAGGTCTTGAGTGATAGTCAGTCTTTAACATCACCATTCAATGTTACTTGGAATTATGTTTACTTTCAATAAAAAGGTCTGATTTAAATTTATCAGTGAAACAAGTGTTTTTCACAGCTAATGTTTTGTCCTTGTGTATACAGGGGAAACGCATATTGCTACAAAAGATTACACTGGTGAACTGGAGGATGAATTGGATGTAAAGGAGGGTGAGACTGTTGAAGTTATTCACAAACTCCTTGATGGCTGGTGGGTTGTCAGGTATAAGCAGACAATCAATGTTGGAAGTACTTCAAGGTTAATACTTGTCAATTGAGCAAGAAATTATTCTATAAATGTCTTTTTTTTATTCCAGAAGGGGCAGTGTAACTGGCTACTTCCCTGCAATGTATCTGCAGAATTCAGGGGAAGCCGTTTCTGGAGAGAGAAGTCAAACAAAGACAAAGGGATTGCCCCCCCGAAGGTAGGAATAAGACAAGTAAAAATGGAGCTAGCTTCCTATAAAGTTTTATAGAAAACACAGTTTAATAAAATATTTACAACACTTCTCTGGCATTATGTTCCCTCCAGATTCATGAAAACCTTGCAACAGTTTTGGTAACAGTTCGGACTAGGGATACACTGATACTGATACCAGTATCGGTGCTGATACAGTGTATTTTCACGAGTACTCTGGAACTGATACCTTGCAGTGCGATTTGCATCAATCCAAACCGCATGCGGTTTCCCCACTGCTCCTGTGTGAATCCAGGCTTGTCATAGCCCAAGTTCACACAGGAGCAGTGTGGGAAACTTCCCTGCAGGCATCCAGTGCTGAGCGGAGAATGGGTGTGTAAGGATGTATACAATGGAAGCAGATGGTCCATATTCTCAGCGGTAGGAGAGGAGAGAAAGCAGCATGGATTTCCTCACAGGGATGACAGTTTAGGCTAGAGGACTTTTGATTGGTCAGCACAGTCATATAGATGGTGCTGACCAATCAGATGCCGTCTAGCCTGTACTGTCACCGCTGCAAGCGGAGAAGAGAAAGCCATGGGGATTTCAAATCCTGAGACCTGTGAAGCGGCTTTCTCTTCTCTCCTTGCAGGGATGACAGTTAAGGCTATGAGGGCTTTTGATTGGTCAATACTTTCACATGGATAGTGCTGACCAATCAGATGCCATCTAGCCCATACTGCCAAGTCAGCGTTACAGCAACCAGTGATGTAGGGCAGACTGACAGTGGGTGGAACCTAATAGGGAACTCTGAAAGACTAGTTCCCCCATCAGATCCATCTTGCTTATCATTGATAGGGGGCGGCAGTGGGTGGATTTCATAGCCTATTCAGTCTAATAGCAGCTATGAAATGTCCACTGCTGTTCACTGTCAATCACAAGCAAGGTACACCTGATGTGGAACTAGTCTCTCAGAATTCTCTCTTTAGACTCCGTGCTCCCAACAGGTGCATTGGTCATGGAATTGAGTTGGGTGGGCACAGCCTGATAGATGACTCTAAAACTAGTTTCCCATCAGGTCTGCCTCCTGTGTGTCTGACAGCAGATGATCATGGGTGGATTCCACAGCCACTATTGGGCTGAATAGCATCTAATCAAATCCCCGATTGTATTGGACCTGATGAAGAAATAGTCTCAGAGTTCCTCATCAGGCACCACATACCCTACAAGAAAACTTCTCAGCATTCTCCTGCATGCATGACATGAACAGTGGATCAAGAGGAAAGGAGCTAACGCTGAGCCTGTAATGGTAGAGGTGTCAAGCTAGCCATAGATGGTTTGAAACTTGGCTGGTTCAGCAGGGACCCGTCGAGATTCAAACCATGTATGGACAGGCTGAATGTGCCCAAGCTGATTGATCAAGTGCAACCTGCAGGAAAGAAAATCGCCCTATGACTGGCTTCAGTGTTATTGAGCTGAACTGAGGATGAAGTTTCTGGTATGGACACTCTGGCCTTAGTTCCCACCTCCATGTGTCAGGTTCCCAACAGGTACATTCGTATGTAGCAAACACTGACATTTGTTGTGAAGGTGTGATGGAACTCTACACAGTGTCTAAGACAATTGATTTACAAGAATAATTTCACATTAATTACAAAAGTGAAATTTACATAATGAGTTATTCAGTTAAACTATTACTGTCCTGTTAACATATTTTGTGTATATATATATATATATATATATATATATATTTATTTGAAACTATCATCAAGGGTAGAGCTTTTAAAGCACACAGCCACTCGCTTTCTTTTTTTTAAGGTCCGTTTTTGCCCAGTTTTATTTAAAAGAAAGTTCCATACAATATAGGCTTACCAGAAAGGGCTATCCACTATCAATGCAAAAGCAAAAAAAAGATTCAGCCTCCTGGTTCTCTTTAGCAGCACCACTGCTCAGGCTTTATGCCTCGGTCCTCTTGACCATTCACATACAAAATGCTGTACCTTGATAAGCTCCCTTTCACAGCATTCCTGCTTTTCCAGTCCACAGGCTTGAGCCCTGTCTGCTCTGTCAGACTACTCTGTGCCACCATGCACACTGGTGGCTGCTCCCTTGCACCCACATGGACTCCTCAGGAGGGTGGAGCCCAGAACCCTGGTCCTGACTCTAGAAGAGACTCACACACACCTGCACAATCAGTCTCCTGGCCATTCCCAAAACCTGGTCCCAGGATCAGAGATTTAATCCCTCCCAAATCACTTTGAAATCTCCAGGTTCCAGGTCCCACAATGGACTTTACACACAAATGAGAAAACTGAAAAGCCAGTTTCCTCTGCATTAAGCAAACCCTCTGGAGCCCCTTAACCTGTCTTGTTGAGAATCCTGGGTGAAATATTCTTTTTACATTGTGACAGATCACCCCCACTGTCACATATCTTCCCCCTTGTTTCGACCTGGAGGGTGAAACACACAACTTACAGCTTCTGGCACCTCTGTGTGAGCTCTCACTTACAGGGGTCCAACCCTGTCTGCCTTCATTTTCATCAAAGGGAGATGCTACTCCCTGTCTCGAGAGGTGACTTCCCCTTTGTCCCCTTGCTAGCCCTACTTGGGCTCTACAACGACATCCCTGTGCCTTTTTACGAGTGCTCTTCCATAAACACTTCCTCTCCTGAAATCTTAACTGGGTCCCCCTGGACTTTCTATCAACCTTTCTGCGTCTTTGCTTCAGGTTCCCAGGTTTCCTGATACCTCTCTCTGTATTACTGTCCCAAGGCTGTAGGGGACCTATTTCTACTGTATTTGTACCAGGATCACCCCTCTTATTTCTGGTACCTTTGGATATCAAACCTTGATGACTCATCACCACAGTATTCAGTTTACCATAAACAGTTATATTCCAGTCAATATTACACCTCTCAATATCCTTTCCAGCATTTGTTAGGACAGTGTCTGCAGGGGGCACACACCGAAGGGCAGCCATCACCCACGGGAACCTCACAAGATGCCACTTCACCTGGTGTCATGCACTCTGCAGGCAGCTGTCCCACCATTTTAACTTTTTCAACCCCACATGGATCTGTATCCAAATCCTGAACAGATGAGCTCTCTTCTGATCCATTTTGCCAGTTTTTACATACCATTTGTCCCTGTATCTCAGTTGTCTTATCAGACATGTTACATTTTTGGCCCATTGACCCTAATTTCTTTAAGCACATCCGTCTGAACCCTGGTCAGAGTCTCTGCTGTTCTCTGGTCCATGCTCGGCCCTCCCATCTCATGTGGTTTTTTCCACTGGTTCAATAAACGCACCCTTCACCGACAAATGACCAACACTATCCTGGACGATAGCAGCAGAAATGCTTCCCACCTGGCTGTTAGGAGGTGAAACATTTTTTGACTCATTCTTCATTTCTCCAAAACCTCTCTCATATATCATAATTACAGGAAGTAGTCCAGCAGCGTACCCATCAACAATTTCAGAAATAAACCACTTCTTTCTTGTTCCCTATGTACAACCGGCCATTCGGTGCTCCACCTAGTGGTACTCCCGCAGTACCAGACCATCTAACTGTGGAGGAGACACCCCAGTATAGATTGGCTGTACATCCCAAAGTTCAAGCATCTCCTTTAATACTTTTGTTACAAACCAGCCACTTGACTCCAGATCCAAGTCCTTCCTGAAGATATTTATGACACTGGGAATGCAGAGAGACTCACCTGCTGAGACTTGAGAAGTTACAACTTTTTAAAAGGACCTCCTCCCAGCTGGAGGTAACCACAGCCTGGTGCTCCACCAGAGTGCTGCCAGGTGCTGGGCTCACGCTCAACATCTCTAGCTTGGCATCCGTAAGCTGCCCCTGATTATTCCCAGTGAGAACATCAATTTGTCACTGCATGCCAACATCACTTTTGTGGGTCACAGACTATGTCTCTGCTGTATGCTCACCCTTATCTATAGGCTGTTCTGTAGACCCTATTGCTTGAACAGCAGAAACAGTGTCCACCTTTATTTTTTTTGCATAATAGCCTCATCTATCATTGAAATTAGCCTTTGACCCCAACTATCCCAATCCATTGTACATGTGCTCCATTCACCAGTGCTCCTCAACACTGATCCATCCACCCAAGGAGATACATAAGAACCGACGGGCTTAGTTGCAGACCCATTGTACATCACTCTGAATCATGTCAAACATAAGTAACACCTGCTTTATGACTGCAGGCTGCAATACCTCACATCCACCACTTTGCTCTGGTGGTGCTTCATGAATTACCTACATATTTGCATTTTTCACAGGCTGTATTAACCCGCTGTTTACCTGAACACTTTCAGTATTAGTAGATTGCACCAACATACTCTTATTACAAGGTGCAGTTTCACTCTGCCCTACCAGAGTGACATCGTAGTTGTCCAGGGTAACCTCTGGCTCCATTACATGGAGTTACCCGGAGATTTCTAGGAACACCTGTGCTGTCTTACCACCAGTTGCTATGGGAAATGACCCATCTTTAATTACGTCTTTTGCTCTGCACGAGTTCAGGGTTTTCCCAACAGCAGTAAATTTCTCATTATCACCACCATTATTAGCTCTTGCGGGCTGCACTACCCCACTACCAACTTGTGACTAGCAGACATTAGTGACATCGCTTTCTTTTTGAGAACCACACACAGGTTTTACTTTAATCCCTGCGTCCCCACTGTACAAGGTACTGCACAGGGAAAAGTCACTCTCAAGAGCACATTCAGTGGCCCAACTAACTGGGGGCACTCCTGCATCAGAATGGACAGTCTAATAATCAATCCTTCTCAAAATGAAATTAGCAGTCCCAGCCATGATTATATCACAGACAGTCTTACCCACCACAGTAGGTGTCGCCATCTTCATTTGAGTGCGTTATCTCATGAACCAGTCCTCAGCTGCACTTTCTTTGGCAACTTTTCCCCTGGTAAGAGTGTTTTTGGTGGTGGTGAAGGATTCTTCCTCTCTTTCCTCTTGGCCGTTTTTTGAGACATCCATAGAAGTGTTGTGGATCCAGGGGAGAGGGGCTGATTTCCTATATTTCAAGCCTTGTGGATTGGACTTTTGATTTTATTCTTATATGTGTTTTGCATTTATATGTAAATCATCTGTAGTACCGCACTTCATTTATTATTATTGTTTTATATTGTTGCCTGCAATATTGTGGTGGCTGCTTATGTGGTTTTATTGTCCACTATTACCAATTTTATACACCATAGCGTGGAATTGTATACATTTTTTTTTACTTTTCCCTTGTGGCCACAAGGTGAAGTGTCAGATGCCCCCATAGGCTCCATAGACTCTCTGGCATCCCCCCGTTACATATCACTCCACTGTCACAATATATATAATTTTTGTTTTTTTTCCTTATATTGTCTATATACATATTTGAATACCTTATGTAAAGATATGTACAGTATATATGTACATTTATATAAATAATACTGAATTTGTGAAAATACGTTTTCATAAATAGATTTATATAAATTTCTCTCTTAAACTTGTCATATAATAAAAATTTGTCATCTTGTTAAAAGTAAGAAAATGATTTGTTCTTTAATCACAGAGGCACAATTTCAAATGCTAACAGTATCCACAAGCAGAAACGCAAAGAAATCAGCCAGGAAACGTACAGGAGAAACAGCAAAAGATATCTGAAAGCACGTCAGTCTATAATTGAGGCTGTGGAGACTATGACTATTGGTAGGTACTGAAATTCAAAATGGAAACATTGTAAATATGGTCCAGTCTTTATGAAAAAAGAATGCCATCAATAGGAAATAATCGAAAGGCACAGATCGTATTTTTTTTACTTCTGAGAGGAGGTCGGCAGAAAAGTAATTTGTTGTACCTATGGGGAAAAAAATGTGTGTGTGTGTATATATATATATATATATATATATATATATATATATATATATATATTGTGACAGGATGAACGGCGAGGTGTAGAGGGACGCTATGTGTCACCTCGCATATGCTCATACCTGACCGTTTAGGTGGAGTCCACTCTGGGTTTTCGGGGCCACAGTTAAGCAGGTGGGTCCGGACCAGAGTTTGGGCTCCACTGATGACCACCAACAGGTGGTATAAATAAGGCAGGGCTGGAGCAAGGAGTTGCTTGTGGCCTGGGACTCAGAGAGGTGTTCTGAGAGAGCTGTGTGTGTACTATACCTACAAGAAAAGGTTTGCTTTTGTTTTATTTCGGTGACAGGGAGAAGCCCTTCACCTCTGAGAGAGGAAATGCCTTTTGTTTAGTTAGTGCCTGGATGGCAAGGGTTTATTTTCATGTTTTGTTTATTTTCTGCAAACCTTTTAAATAAAGCTGACAACCAGTCAGATTTTGATGAAAGCCTGCTGTGCGGTCTACCTTTGTCCCAGGGAAGGAGATCCCCCACCTGAGCTAACCCCACAATATAAATAAATATATATATATATATATATATATATATATATATATATATATATATATATATTTTTTTTTTTACCTTTAAACAGAAACTCCTTGTGAAGTTTTCATGCCTTCATAAGTGTTGACTACATTACAGTCTATGTGCAGCCAAAAGAAAAAACTGAAAAAAAAATCAGCACAAGGGATGAAACTTACAGTCTTGCAGTCAGTAGGATGTGTCTCTTGTGCTGATGCCTCTTATTTTTAGTAGTAATCTTCCTCCATCTTGCCCTTCCCCCCACTACCATAATCTTTCAGTGCAGCAGGGGTTAATAGAACTAAGGGGCTGTCACAGACTCTCATCCAGAGATCCTGACTATGCCCTTCCTTCCAGCCCAGCTGCTCCATTCATATAAGCCATATCACAGCTTCTATGAAAGGAACACGAGCTACACTCGGGCTTACCATGCGGCGCTGCTCCGCGATCGCTCAATCACTTACCTTGTCCTGTGCTCCCGCAATGTCCCTCCTGCAGTGTCCCCGGCAATGTAATCCGGCAGATGCCGGCATCTGTCATCTGGGTTCCGTCCCCTGCGAGCGTCGGGACGTACGAGGGACGGAACGGTGGCAAATTTAAAAATGTCAAAAAGTGACATTCACTAAAATCACATAGTAAAACATTACTGTATCAAAGCATTTCACATACATTTTGTCCCTAGTGCTTTGTCCTGTGCCCTACCTGCATTTTTACTGTTCTTTCTGCCTGGAAACTGAGAAACGTCCATGGCGTCCAAAAAGCATCCCTTTAGGTCAAAAGCGGTTTTAGACCAGCTAGAGAACAGGGATGGTGAATTAGAACTACTTGCAGAATTGAGTGATAATGATTTGTGGGGAAATTCGTCATCAGACACTGAATACAATTTTGCGACTTTGCTCAGTGATGTGCGAACTTGGCGCTATATTTCAAATTTCAGTGTTTTTGGTTTGATTATATTATTGAATTCAATTTATTATATTATTATTTTTTATGATTATTTATTAAATTATAATTTATGATTTCATGTTTCAAGTTTTATCCTACCCGGGATGTTTACTAGACTCTTGTTCGGACAGATTTCAGTGAGTTATTCCTAAAAATTACAGGCCTACAATAAAAAAACTACATATTTCCTTGCAAAAAAATGTACCGCTTTGAGCACAGAAATATCGACATAATCAGACCGCTAGGGAGGTTAAGTGCAGTATGCCAATTCTTACCACATGCTGACTAAAGAAATAAAGCAATATTATGTGTCCATAGATTTGTTTTCTTCTGTTCTGATTTAGCTATCTATCTTTGTGTTGTTATATTGATGTACATAACCCTAAATACTAAATCATGAGTTATGTGATATTTTAGAGCAGGGGTCTCCAAACTTTCTAAAGAAAGGGCCAGTTTAGTGTCCTTTAGACTTTGGGGGGGGCGTACTGTGCTCAGTGGGAGTAAACAATGGCCGATCTTTGTTCTTGGGTGAAGAAATAGTTGGTGCCAGTGGGAGGGATAGTGCCCCCTTTTTTGTTGTTAGTGGAAAGAACCATGCCCCATCATTGGTGTCAGTGGAAGGAATAGTGTTCTATTGTTGGTGTCAGTGGCAGGAATTATGCACCATTAGTGGTGTCAGTGGTAGGAATAATGAGTAAGACCTCCTGCACTATAAATGGCGAAAGCTACAAGGGAGCTGCTGTCACCTAACCTGACTTCACTAGGTAAAAAGTAATGATAGAAACAATGGTGAAGCGCTAGCAATATAATACAGATATAAATGACATAAAGAGTACATATAGACAGCAAAAAATAAATGATGCATAAAAGTGAAGAGAACATACAAAATGCTGGTCCGATCGGATCTAATGAGGTGCTGCAAGAAGTGGAACAGGTAAACCTGTAACTATAAACGTGGACCCTTTTCCAAATGGAAGAACAATAAGCAAACCAACCTCCGTCTGTCCACATAGGGGACTGATAGTAAATATATAGGGGGTAAAGACACAGCAACTGTGACCAATGTAATATTAAATAGTGGAAATAGTTTGCTTATTGTTTTTCCATTTGGAAAAGGGTCCACGTTTATAGTTATAGGTTTACCTGTTCCACTTCTTGCAGCACCTCATTAGATCTGATCGGATCAGCACTTTGTATGTTCACTTTTATTTTTTGCTGTCTATATGTACTCTTTATGTCATTTATATTTGTATTATATTGCTAGCGCTTCACCATTGTTTCTATCAGTGGTAGGAATAATGCCTCAAGGGCCGGATAAAGGCAAGCAAAAGGCCGCATCCGGCCCCAGGGCCCTAGTTTGGAGACCACTGTTCTAGAGTCCTCATGAGTTATGCTTTAGGGCCTATAAGCTGTTTTAAAGACATATGCAGTGACTACCCATATTTGTAACATCAAATACTTGCAGCATATTTCTATGACAAAAATTTTAGTGCACTATTTGTGCTAACTGTAGTAAACAATGTGTATTTTCTCTTTTAAATACAGATGAAGAAAAAGAGGAAGACAAATCAAAAGCCCAACCTGCTATTCCTCCACGGCCAAGCAAAAAGCTCATTTTGGATCGTTGTTCAGAGAACACAAAGCTCAAGATCCAAACAGTGACCTAAAAGGACTTCTTAAACCTTATTTAAAGATATTTACGTATATTTTTTTAACTCAATTTAGGAAATAAGAACACTCCGAGCACTGCTTTTAAGATATCATGTTGTTGCACAGTTAACACCTGCATAACTCAACAAACCTTTTCTTCTTGCCAGTGGAAACCACCTCCTTCCACAGTCGACAGATTTCCATTTTTTAAAAGCTATGCTTTTCTAGTATTAATAACTATTCAGGAGCCCGTTTGTCTGTGCAAAGAATTTGGAAGTCCAGAAAAATGTCTGTTACTATGTATGTTTTAATATATTAAAATATATATGAATATTCAGTGCACATGTTTCTTTTAGGACCGCCATGATCTCCAAGTGCAGTTAAAGTGGAATGCACTGCATCTAAGCATCACAAACCAAAAAATGCTATTTAATTAATTGTTAAGATTCAAAACAAACTACCCCTTTCATCCATCCATCCATGATTCCATGCTTTATTTTGCTGAGAAATCATTTTGAAAAACACACCCTGGCATTTTTGACAGTGGCCATCTTTAGTAAGGGCAGAAGATTCATGTACCGTTTACTTCCTGGAATCCACCAGCCCTTAGCACAGGCATTGGCTGAGCTGAGAACCCTCCCTCCCCTCCTGAAGACTCTTGGGATGTGTGACATAATTTGCCTAGGTATAGAAACTAAGAAGTAACTAAAGAAATGTAAAATAAAAAGCTTAAAACAAGTAATTATGATATACTTTCCTATCCATTTACTAATGCTAGTAGCATAAGGATTAAACATAATCAATGCTGATTAAGAGAATGAAGTTCCACTTTAAAGCCTATATTTAGGTAACACGTAAAAAAAAATAAAAATAGAACATGGAACAGTACTTACATTTAATCTGAATTGTCCCTTGTGCTGGGGCCGCCTGCCATATTTGAAATCCTCTGCCCTCCTCCTATACCTTGCAGCCATAATTCTCCAGTGCCGGGGGGGGGGGGGGAGGGTTCACTACAATTTCAGTTGTTTTCTCTGTAAAATCAGTCATTGTTAACACCAATCTATCCCAGAGAAACAGAAAGCTATGATGGAGGAACCCCTACTTGCACCAAATATTTTGTGGAAGTCCAGCTGCACCTAAATTGTGAGAAAGCTCTTATAGCATGCACCTCTTATAGCATCCAGAAAGACTGAAAAACTGCTTCACAATAACAGGAGCTTTCTAGTGTACTGCAGTATGTTTCAGTTCATGAAAATATGGAACTGAGGAAACCTAAAATCATGCTTTTAATTTAAGTTGCAATGTAACTATTTTTTCACCAATTACAATCAAACCTGCTTTTATAAAGTGGCTGTAAACCCTTACATATACCCAGTGACGTGACTGGCCTCAGATGATACACAAAGATTAAACAAATCCTCCTACATAAGTTGTACAGGTCTAATTGCAGTCTTCTCTACAGTCATTCAAAGTGCTGAATTTATAAAGCTTGTTTGAGGGTTCAGAAAAAAGTGGACAGAGAGCTGAAGTTACACACTGCAGAGCTCAGTAAGGAGAGCTCTGAGAGATAATTGGAGGGAAGTGCCACACCCCCTCCGCACAATACAGGAACAAAGCTGAGGCTGTTAATCTGCTGGAGGTCCCTCCCCTGTTGCGATTTCTCCTGCACTCTAGGGCCCAGACCACCAGTTTATTTAAAAGGTTGTGCAGCTCCAAACAAGGCTGGGGAAGCCCGACCGATGCTGCAAAGTGAAACAAAAAACAAGAAGCGCACCAACCTTGCGCATTACCTCAGTAACCAAATTTATTAATTGAAGAATGGTACTCACAAACAGCGAATAAAATCAGGCATGTAGTCCTCGAAGGGACTTCAGAGATAAGGAGCCAGCGCGAATCACATCATGGGGGTAGACACTCAATACAGCTGATGCATTTTGAAGGCCATGCCTTCTTCCTCCCTTGTGACCATTTTTCTCTTGGTGTAAGGAAAACTTATCAGAAGTGATTCATGCTGATAGCAGAGGAAGGAAGCAGCAGACAGAAATGACGCTTAGTGCTCTTAATTGAGACTATACAAACCATAGAGGGATATGCTTCGTTCATATTTCATGTCTGAGTTTTACAACTATTTTAACTGTGCACATTAATGTATATTTTCCATGGTTCTCTAGTGGTTACTCTTACATTTCACAATTTATCCATTAGTATAAGGACTCATGTGCACTGCAGCTGATAAAATGAAGTTTAGGAGCAGTTGGGTAATTTTTTCTGAAGCCCCTGAACTCTTCTCTGTTATTCTATGTGTTCATTTACACAGTCATTTAGAGGAGTTTACTGCCATTTCACTGAAAGCACAAAAACTGCATTCAGGACAAGACTTTACCGGCATTTTAAATGCCAAACGCGCCTAAACATATCTAAGCACTCCTAAATGCACCTAAAAGATATGCGCGTTTAGCACTTATTAATTTTAATGGCCAGAATAAATTAAAATTCTCACTAATGAAATAAACAAACTACAAAACACCAAATGCTGCCAAACTCTGCTAAACTGGTTTGAAAAAATGCAGCTTAGGTACGTTTTAAGGCCTCATGTACACATGAAATCACCTAGTCGTTAAACTCTCCTGGCAGCAGAAAAACGCTAAACGTGGCAAAAACACGTTTAAATGCGGTGCCACATTTAGCCGCATTTACTCACGTTTAGCGATTGGACATTGATTCATTTGATTGGCCAGATTTTTTTCCATTGACATGGATAAATGCCAAAGCGATAAATGTGGCTAGTGTTAAGATGTGTTTGGCTGCATTTACAAGCGTTTTTGCAGCATTTAGTGTTTTTTGCCAAAAAGTTTCTCTCCTGAACGTGATTATACTGCATTCAGAAGAGGATCATTTAACTGCCCCGAATCTCTGGTAAAAACCTATTTGTACATGGACACATAGGATTCTATTGTGTTGAGTTCAGGGGCTTTGGCAAAAAATAAAAAAAAACGCCAAAAGCTCCTAAACTCATGTTTTACATGAGGACTAACACTGATTTTCTCCTGTCAGGAAAAAAAAGAAAAATAAACCAGTGTACATGAAGTCTAAACATAGCTTTTATGTAAGTACTGTTGTTAACCGCTTCCTGTCCGTCCTATAGCAGAATTACTGCTACAGGGCGGCAGGCTGCACAAAATCACGTACTATACACGAGATTTTGGATAAACAATACAGATCTACCCCCTGTCAGCTCCAGCACACTACTTTGTATTGCTCTGCATAGCAGAGCAATACAAAGCAGGTTACTTACACAGTAAAACATACACAGCTCAACCCTTTGATTGCCCCAGATGTTAACCTCTTCCTGCCCAGTGTCATTAATACAGTGTCAGTGCTTTTTATTAGCACTGATCACTGTATTGGTGTCACTGGGGATATCAGTGACAGTCGGTTCCCCCCAGTGTCAGAATGTCCACCACAGTCCCGCTATAAGTCACTGATCACCGCCATTACTAATATAAAAAAATAACAAATATTCCAGTATATATATCACCATTTGTAGATGCTATACCTTTCACGTAAACCAATTAATTTACACGTATTGGGATTTTGTTTTAGCAAAGACATGTAGCAGAATACATTTTGGCCTAAATGTATGATGAAAAATTTGATTTTTTTAATTTTTTTTACTGTATATAGTGCAAAAAATAAAAACACACAGGCAATCAAATACCACCAAAAGAAAACTCCATTTGTAGGGAAAAAAAGACATACATTTAATTTGGGTGCAGCATTGCATGACCGCGCAATTGTCAGTTAAAGTAACGTAGCGCTGTATAACAAAAAAATGGCCTATTTAGGAGGGGGGGGTAATCCTCTGGAGGGCTCATTCACTCATAGTGCAATTACTGTAATTTTTTGCACTGTATAAATGCCAGCCACCACTAGGACACATGTAAAACAACTGTTTTCTATGTGCCCTGTTCACACTGCAATGCAGCCCAAAGGTGCAGTGTAGTGAGCTATAGTAAAATGCTGACATATAACAGGAAGGCACCATGCTACTGTACAGAGACATGAATAAAGTGTTACTTTGTGTACTTCACATGAAATAAACCATGTTATGTACTGAAATGCCTTTCTCACTGCGGCTCACTATCTGAAAACAGACATCAGACTGCATGTTTAGTGTGCATGTAGTGTAAACAAGCCCTTAACAGAGAGGCTGTGGAGAAGAGCAGTTATTGAGACATCTGCCTATCCTTATTCGTGTTGCCATACTATCAGGGCCTGCCATGTGACTGTTAAAACCCCTTTCATTTATGGGTCTTTTCATCAATGCTTTCAACCAATATTCACCCAACACTAGTTTTTTTTAATTCGATCTTTTGAGAAAAACTACTGAATACTTTGAATGTTTTTCTAATTTGATCTTTTTGTGAAAAACTAGTGAATGTTTTGGTTTCACTGGGGATGTCAGTGACAGTTAGTCAGTCCCTCCCCCCTTCCCCCCCCCCCAGTGCCAGAAAGCCTGCAGCAGTCCTGCTATAAGTCGATGATTGCCGCCATTACTAGTATAAAAAATAAAATATTCCAGTATATATTCCTCCAGTTGTAGACGTTATAACTTTCACGTAAACCAATTAATTTACACATATTGGGATTCAGACAGGGTGTTGAAACAGGTTATAAGAATATGTTTTTGGTTTTTTGGTCATCTAGGATGGAAAAGCTGAAAAGAGAAAAGGTGATGAAGAGTGCGGTGAATGGTGGCAAGAATGTGGTTAATGTTGAAAGATTTTTGGTCATAAAGTATGTGAGTATGTGTGTAAAACTGAGTAAGAAGGAGAGTCTGGCAGGATGTATGTTAAGGTATGCAGGTGGTGGGGTATTGCGAAAGTATAGGTTGTGTGAAATCGATCTAAGGAAACCGGTGTGTTTGTAATAGTCCATGGTTTTATGTAAGGATTGAAAGATATATGTGAAGGTATGGGTTACAAGAGGTGACGCGGGAGAAATGGTATGAGAGTAA